AAAAAGAATGCCACAGACTGGGAGAAAATACTCACAATACACTTATCAGACCACAGACTTGCATGCCCAGTGATAAAAAAAATTCTGACAACTCAATAATAAGACAAACAACTCAATTTTTAAATATGGGCAAAAGACTTTATGTGAACAGACAATAAGAACATGAAAAGATACTCAAAAGCATCAGCCATCAAGGAAATAAAATTTAAAACCAAATGAGATGCTACCACATAGCCATAGAACGGCTAAAGTTAAAAAGACTTACAATATCAAATCTGGATCTAAATGGATGGTGAACAGTTTGCCTAAAGTATACTGTCATCACCAGCATTCTTTGAACCAATAAAAACATCTGACTTCACAGGTCACAGGTTTTACTTACTATCTTACTTTTAATCTTAAAATTTTGCTCATTTAAATGATACTATTATAATTTGACATATCTACAGTATAGATATGAGGAAAATAATGCATCATGCAAAGTTAAAAGAATAACATACAACTGGTCTCATTCATCAGATACATGAAAAAAGCTAAATACTCAACATCTGTAAAAATATCAATCAGCTTGATTAAATGCATTCCAAAAATGGGCTTCTTTCTACCGTAGTTTTAACCATGGAATTTTACTTCTATTCCACAATTAAGTAAACCTGTCAAATTAGGCCAATCATAATTTAAAATTATTAACATCTACTTATAAAAATGTTTCAATTTCCTTTAAACACAGAATGGTAGACATCAAGGAAGAGAAAATTTCAGAATAATTCCATTATGATCAGAAGAGTTAGTGCCCTGTAATTAGGAAAAGTATTTTCTTGCAAGAACATGATTCTAACTATTACGTATCATTTCAAAAGATCCCTAACAAGCTTTCATCCTTGATTTTTACTAATCACAAAAGGGAGTGATTTCTGAAAATCACAAGCATTAATTGCTATTCTTTACTAAGCTAAGACATTATCGATCTCGTCCATTAATGGAGATAACATTTTACATCAGTGTGTTGTGCCTAAGTTTCATTTTTGCTTATGGTCATTTTTCTGAACTCTTACATTTTTGTGACATTCCTTAAGTAAGTTAATCAAGACGTTGCATTCTTCGGTGTGCAAGTGTGGAGATAAGTCAGGATGCATCTTTAGGAGAAGGTGATGGAGCACAGCAGAGCAACCTGTGGATACAAGAGTGTCTTGAATATGTGTGGCTATATTTGTTAATGTGACCTAAAACTATTTTCAGTTAAGAAAATCCAGTGACCTTTATCAGAAAAGAATGTTGACCTGAGACAAATTATTAAACTTGAGCGTCAGGTTCCTTATCCAATGATTTAACCGATTCAGCAAGTTATCAGGAGTGTTTATAGAGAACCTGCAGTTTCAGAAAAAAGCAGAACACACACGAACCTGGAAATAAGTGCTCAAGCAGAAACAGCTTGCCTTTATTAATAAGACTGACTTCAATTATTTTTCCCACATTCCTGAAACTGATTACAACTCATTTTGTTCAGATGAAATTCTACCAATTAAGAGAACTGGCATGTTAATCTTTAAAAATGTATATTCCTGAGAGGGTTAAAGGGTCAATAGTCAGTCTCATATTAGTGTGAATTAATATAGACTGCTTTCTTCCTAACAGCTGGCTAAAAAAAAAATCTAACTAAACAATGAAGAGTAACAACAGCAGATGTAATATAAAAATTTCAAATTTAGCAGATACAAGTATATCCATAAAATGCTATTACAATGAAAACAAGAAGGCTGAAATCCCTGAAATTAGTTTAATTAGTTCATTCACATAGAAAATTAGCAGCCAAAGTCAAGGAAAAAAGCATTATTTTGAGGTGTGTGCTATAGTTATGTAGCACTATACACCTACTGTCTTTTTTAAACCTATTTTTAATTCAGAAAAGATTACCATAAAAATGAACCAATTAATTGCTTTAGCCTTTTAAAAGTTCTAAAAAAGAAAACAGAAAATCATGACCTTAGGTTGGGAAAAGAGTTCTCAGATACATCGAAAAGCACAATCCGTAAAGAAAGAATAAAAACTCATCAAAATTAAAAACTTTCCTGATTCAAAAACACAAGAAAATAAAAAGACAAGCCACATTCTGAGTGACATGACATGTCAATGTAGGTTCATCAATTGTAATCAACATACCTCTTTGGTGGGGATGTTGATAGGCGGGAGGCTGTGCCTGTGTGGGGCAGAGGGTACATGGGATCTTTCTACTTTTGGTTAATTTGGCTGCAAATCTAACACTGCTCTAAAAAAATAAAATCTACAAGCTACAGAATAGGAGAAAATATTTGCAAATCATTTACGATAAAGGGTTAGTATCTAGAAAAATGTAAAGAATGCTTACAAACAATCCAATGTTTAAAATGGACCCAAAAAGTAGACAAAAGATTTAAATAGATATTTCACTGACGATGATACAGGCATGATTAATTAAGCACATGAAAAGATGTTAATCATTAGTCATTAGGGAAATACAAATTAAAACCACAATGAGACACCACTAGACATCCACCAGAATATCTACAATCAAAAAGTAGAACAATACCAAGCATGGTTAGAATGTGGAGAAAACGGACCTCATGCATTGCTATGGGGAATGTAAAACAGTACAGACACTTTGGGAAGACAATTTGGCAGTATCTTAAAAAGTTAAATACAAACTTACCCGGTTAAATACAAATATGACCCGGAATTGCACTCCTAAGAATCTACCCAAGAGAAATGAAAACATATATCCACACAAAGAAGGGTATGTGAATGTTCACAGCATTATTCATAATAGCCAATACTGGAAACAATCCAACTGTGCAATAACCCAGTAACTAGATAAGCAAATGTAGTTATTTACACAATGGAATACTTTAACTTCTACATGTGCCAACATCGATGAACCTCAAAAGTACTAAGCTAAATCAAAGAAGCCAGATTCGAAACACTATGATTTCATTTATATGCAATGTCTAGAAAAGGCAAATCTGTAGAGATAAAAAGCTAATCATTCGGTTGCGTAGGCCTGAAGGTGAGAGTGGGCAATCTGCAAATGGACACCAGGGAATCTTTTAGGGTGGTGAAAATGTCCTAAAATAGAATTGTAGTAACGGTTGCACAATTGTATAAGTTTACTAAAACCACCAAATTCACTTACAATGAGAGAATTTTATGATATGTAAATTATACCTTAGTAAAGCTGTTAAAAAGTTGTGAAAAATTCAAACTGCCCATCCACCTTCCACTCCCAACAAATAAAATCTTTAAAAATGTCTAAACAAATAATTCCAAAGAATTGTCATATACCTCCTGTTTCAGATTTCAACTTACAAAAATACCAGAAATCACTGTTTCACTGAGTAACTACTAATAAACACACACACAAAAATATACATACCACAGCTGACGATCACAAATCAGGCTGTTTTGCCCAGCTGAGTATTTGAAATGGAAACTAAAAATGCAGCCAAGTTCAAGTTTTGCTTGCCTGCCATTGACTATAGTCTTTTTAACGATAAAAATTTTTTGCCTCAGAAAAATGAGGTCTCATACAGTCCAGCAATTTAAGTCATCTAATACTGTACCAATATTAGGAACCTACATTTATGTATTAGTATTAGTTACCTGGTTTCTGCCTCACTTATTTTTTTTGAAGGAAGATGTACACTGGTTTAGTCACCTAGCAAATGCAAATGTCTTTTAACATTTTATTTTGTAAGTATATTTGACAAAGTATTTTTGCATATTCTATCAACCAGCCCTCAAATTTGTGCTTTTACAATTCTGAAATGACCTCTTTAACTGGCAAAGTAGATAAGTGAGAAGACACTTGGCTGCTGAGATAAATACATGCATGTTGTATATAAGCATAAATGCGTATCATGATATATAATTATATATACATGTAAGACTATAAAACAATGTTATTGTTCTTAGAACACACTTAAATGAGTGCTGATACTTTCCACCAGTCATCCTTAAAAGGCTATTCTAATAATAACACTATTATAACTCAAAGTAATTTTTATGAACTAAAGAAAAGCTAAATATATATTCTATATTCTTATTTTTTAAATTTATTCAAAGCCATAAGAATATATCTACATTATTAGTGTGGAAAATAACTTATTGAACACTTATTATGTGCTGGGCACAAGTCTAATAATCCTCCCAATAATCATAGGAAGTAGGCACCTTTGTCAATTCAGCTGAGCCATAAGAAATTGCCTTTTTGTAGGTCAAAATATGCATTGTCCACATTTTCATAGCAAAACTAAGTCTCGGTCACACAGGAAGTGGCAGAGTAATCTCTCACCATACAGGGTAATCTCTCACCATAACCGATTTTTTTCCCATGTTCAAAATAGGAAAGGCATACCAGCAGTTTGTGAATGAAATAAATTCAGATAGAAATAACTACTTCCCAAAGAGCCTCTGGTTGGCTACAAGTTCAACAGGCACTAATTATAAGCCTAGTTTCCAAAGAAGTCAATGTAATATAATTAGAAATAGAGGGTCTGTCTACATCAAGGAAAAAACCAGTACTCTAATTGGTAATATTGACCAACTTAGGGGAGCCCACAACAGAGGCGAGAACTAAAAGGAACAACTCGGTTAAGTGGACAACGGATTTGAAGGGAGAAGATGGTTTGAGGGCAAAAGCTGTGGACTCAGCTATTCAAGAATTATATCTCTTTGGCTACTTAGTCTGAGACCTAAGTCTCTTCCTTCTTATAAATAGAATTACCTCTTAAACTATATCTCCGTGTTGTCATGAGGTTTAAAATAACATATGTGAGAGTCTCTGAAACAGTGAACAGTGCATGTGACATATGTAAAGTATTATTTGTATGTTTGAAACGCTGTCACATAATGGGAAAGGTTGAACTGAATTTACTCTGAGGTGTTTCGGAGAACAGGACTGGAAACCGAAGGGTGAAGGTTACCAAGGCAGACGTCATCTTCATGGAGCTGCTCAACAATGAAACAGGCTGCTGTGTGAAGCTCTCCGTTATCTGTCCAAATGTACCCAAAATTAAGGATTTGCTGTATCAATTAAAGATGTCAGAGTAGATTCTAGCATTGCATTCTTAAGTTTCTTCTCAAATCTAAGCTCACAAATGATTTTAAGCCTTTTCCAAAAATAAAATTCATACTCAAGTGATCAATACTTATTACTATTTATTACTAGGAATACAGAAAACAATTGCAAAAGGGTAAGTACCAAGATAATTATAAACATCACCTGCACCACTGAAACAAAGGTAAAGGGAACATTCATTTGTAATAAGCCTTTGTGCATGGGTGTTTACAGTGAGAAGGAGGGGGTTAAACTCCATCATTATTCAGTTAAACACAAAACTTCAGTCCCATTGGCATTTAGAAAACATCAGAGGGTTAATCTGTCACAATTACACTTCCCTTCCCCATGCCAACCTCACCCACTTCCTCAAGTATGCACACATTGATACCAAAACAGCAAGCTAAAACTCTTTAAAATGTTCAGCTGTGGCAATTTGATGTTTTGATTAATTGGCTAACAGATCCCTGAAAAGCAATTTTAATTTTTACTTGGGAGTAAGTTACGAGGGTAGAAGCAGTAGGGTACTCTCACTGACCATATAAAAATTACAGTCATCTTTGATTTACTCCTTCACCTTAATCTACCAAGACTCTGAGGTAAAATATTCCTAACGAATATTCTATGATAGATTTCAACCACCAGGTGGCACAATTTCAGAAAATAAATACACCGAGAGTAAGCAATATACCTATCTAGTAAAGAAATGAGAGAAAGCCTTCTAATAACACTCTTCAGCAGATCTATAATCACAAGTGGAGAAACCCATATATTAATGCCACTTGGGTTTTCTTTAGAAAGACTTTGCTATTGTGTGGTTACACCAGAAAGAAATTTACACTACAGTTACAATTTCTAATGACATTTTAAAACAAGCCAAAAACAAGGCCAGAAGTCTCTTCTTCAGAGTCTGAAGAATCTGTTCTCCACAAAAACCTGTAAACTAATATTTTAAAATTTCTAAAATGCATTTTTTTAAAAGCCTGCATTTCAAAAAGCACTGGAATTAGTTAAATTAGCATTTTTCCAACTCTTTCAAATTGCACCATATTCAGCAGAGGGGGTAGAGCCCCTAGCAAGAGATTAGCTACCCTACCCACTTCTACTTATCACAGCTGCAAAGTGACCAAATCTAAAGAGATGCTACTAAGTGACTTGGGTTCTCAAAGTACAGACCATGCTCCACTGCTGAGAGCAGCCCTTGGGCTGTATGGGAAGAAGGACTGACAGAAGCAATGTAACTTCCACCACATAGTTTCTTAAGGAATAGGCCAAGTTGTAGCTTTCCATGAACAAACATTTATCAGCAGGTACTAGGTGCTGAGCACTCTTGCCAAATCACGTGAATTTCAGCGGGGGAAAAAAAATTGGTCCATATACCTCAAAGAACGCACAGGCTAGTGAGGGAATATTCTTATAAATGCACATAGTAAATGCTCAATAAATGTTTGTTGAATTTAGGACTATCATATATTTGAAAATTAGTTTGGACCTCAACATAGTTTTAAAAAAGAATGGAAATGAGGCTCATAGTAAATCAACTAAACAAATGTAGAAGCTTGTATGTATGGGAAAAGGGGAAGGGGTGCCACAACAGAACTCCTTTGCCAGTACAAGCTTCTTTCATGCATTTAGAATTTTAAATGAAGGTTTTCAGAACTCGAATTTACTTAAGACTCTTAATAAAGCACCTATTGTGAAAACACAGGCACGGTAACCTTTAAACAGAATCAAAAAGGGATATGAATGTCTACTTTTCTTCAAAAGTGTACTGATGGGGATCTTACGGGATTCTCACGTCGCAATACGGATTGGTGGAAACTTTCACTGCAGCTAAGATGCGCCCTAACAGGCTCCCATCTTCTACATGCAAATTCTAAACTCCTAGACACCAATAACAATAAACTACACAATGTGTTGAGCATTCGCCGTGTCAAACACTGTGCTAAGAGATTCCCTTCTCACAATCGATACGATGGGTTATGCCCAGTTTACAGGCGAGGCAGCCGAGGCTCAGGGAGGGGAGGAGCACTTCCCAGGTCCCAAGACTCGAAGACTAGCGGGACAGATTGCAGAAAAGTGAAGGATCTAAGCCAGCTACCAGTAGGTCTTCAGCAAATGTCTAGGGGCGGGGAGTTCAGGGTGGATCTCCAGCCGCTTGGGCAAAATCCCCGGAGCGGAGGTACAGGCGCCAGGAGGACCCGGGGCCGGGCCTTCCAAGTCCCAACCTCCAAGGGCTGCAGAACGCCCGACTAGACGCGGCACAGCGAAGCTTCGCACGAGAGCAGGGGACCGGAGGAGGGACAGGTGGGCCTCCCTGGACGCCGCGGCCAGGAAGAGAGCGTTCTTTCAGAACGGCCCGGACTCCCGAGACTCACCCGACTTGATGTCACACCGGAAGGGCTGAAGCGGTCTTCAGCAGCGAAGATTCTTCACACGAAAGCCGACTGCCTGGGCGCCAGAGTCGAGCCAGCTCCAGGTGGCGAAAGCCCCGGCGCCCTCCACGGCTGACCCTGCTCGGTAGCCCCAGTCGCTCGCGGCCTCGAAGGCGCATGCGCCACATGACCTGGAAGGGCCCATTTTCGGGAATTTGGGGGGGGGAGCGGGTTCACAGAAGTACGACAGAACCTAAACAGCAAGCCGTACCAACAAGCTAGATGTCTTGGCTGAGATTAAGTGTGTTTAGACAATATTCTCTGCTAAGAAGAGTGACGTGGGGACTCGCGGAGTTTCCCTTCTGCTGCTCTCCCCACGCAGGCACCTACGCTGGGGGTAGTCCAAAGTTTGGGCTCGGTGGGCGGAGCTAGATGGCGGTGGGAACTGCAATTGGCGGCTTTGAAGGCGCAGCAAGCGGGAACAGCTGCTGAGGAGCGAGAAAGTTGGCGATGTGGGCCGGTAAGACAGCCCCTGGGGTTATGGAGTCGGGCCCCGGAGGGTGGCGGAGGCCTTGTGGAAGCCACGTCCTAGGCCTCTAGGACGACTTTTTCGCTACTGCCACAAGTCCCAAGGTGCAAGATTGGCGCCTGGTCTCAGGGGGGATGGGGGCGGGGGTAGAGATACGGTTGAGAATTACAAGAGGGCAGCGATGCCTTGTCTTGATGTCACATCCGCCCGTTATAGGGCAGGGCCTTACGTAAGGTGTGCGTCAATGCTGGAGCCGCCACGAACTGTCACGTGATGGGCTACGCTACTCTCCCAGCCTTGGGTTGCTTTTTCACCCGGACTTGGGGGTTGATTTTTTAGTTCACTTTGGCTTCCGTCCTTTTTCGTGCTTTCAGCCTCTCGCGTTACTCCTTCTGCTCCTTTTGCAGTTCTTCAGCGGTGTAGATCTACAGGAAAGTTACTTAAAAGGGCTTTTTGTCATGCGTTCATTCAACAGATGTATCTTGAGCACCTACTATATGCCAGGTACTGAGCTGCTAAATTCTAGGAAATAAGAAATTAAATAATCACGGGGAATCGGAAGACTGTACTCAAAGGTTTTCCAGCTTTATTGATGAGACTGAGCATGCTCTTTCTACCAGAGTTCTTTAGAATGGCATTCTGCAAACTTTATCCAGAATTAAGAATCATCTGAGGCACTCTGAAAATGCAGAATCTCAAGCCCTACTCGGTGCTCCTCCAACCCCTCGTTTAAATCAGTGGGGCCAAGGAGTCTGCATTTTAACAAGCCCGCCCCATCAACAGTGTTTTTGATGGGAGAAGTTGGTTCAGTATATCACTGACTGTTGGACCCATATCCTTCCCAGGTTGTTTATCTCCTCAGGTATACTGCTTAGGGGAAGTATCTAGTACTTCATGCCACAAGTATTTGTCATTTAGGGATATGCTATGAATTAGTCAAATACAGTTCCTACCCTAGTGGAGCACAATAAAATACTGTAAAGCAATAAAATAATCAAGATCATTTCAGATAGTTCTGTAAAGACAATAAGCAGTAGAGAGTGGGGAAATAACTTTAGACTGGAGTGATCAGAATAAGTCTCTTTGAGAAGCCATCTAAACTGTGACCTGAATTACAAGAGTTGCCTACGTGAGTATGAAGAATCTTCTAGGCAGGGGCAACTGCAGGTACAATGGCCCTTCACTGGAGGGATCATTTTGTATTAGAGGAACTAAAAGGGCAATGTTGCTGGAGCTCAGAAAGCCAAGAAGATAGTGGTAGGTGATGGGGAGGGAGGCAAGAACCAAACAACACAGGACTCTGTAGACCGTAGAGAGGCTTTTAGTCTTGATGTTAAGGCAGGTTGGTCCTGTATCTGGACAAGGAAACAAATCAAGCTCGATTTTCATGATCCTAATTCTGTTCTCGTGTTCTTAATTCAGTTCCTTTTCTAAATAACTCTGAATAGTTGCTCTTTAATTTTGTTTTAACTATGGTTTTCCGTATCTTTTTAAAAGACAGTCCACTATCCATCTTTTTGGAAGCGGTCTGTGGTAATAAATTACATGCAGTGTTCAGCAGACACCTAAATGGTAGAAATAAATCTCAGCCAGGATTCTTGTAGAGGGATATACTCCTCTGTTTGTCTTTGAATAGCCTGCAGTTGTGGTGGCAGCAGATGAGACTGACAGACTGACTACTGCCTCTTGTCAAACACGGACACCAGGGTCTGTATGCTCATTCCTAGAAGATAAGCTATTAAGGGAATTTAAAGTCTGTAGATATCCTGCTTAATCTGTGTTTAGAAATCATGCTTGATTGCTTTTTTAGGTTCTATATTTTAAAAGAGAGAGTCAGTGTCCCCAGATGAGGTAGCAGAGTTGAGATCAGCTGTCACTATTGGCCCACAGCTTCTGCCCTGAAGAAAGTAATAAAAGGGCTCAAACCCCCTTCCCTATGCCACAGCTTTAAGAGGACCAGTAAGCTATCTCTGAAGATCATTGCCCTGTCTGTTGCTTTGGGAGCCACACCAGATTTGGGGTACAAGACCTTTTGGACAATTGAAGAATCTCACCTTCGGGCATGGGACAGGAAAAGTAAGGTAATAAATAGCTCCATGTTAACTGGCAACGCATTAAAGGAGAAAGAGGCTGCAACCCTCCACCTCCAGCTCTTATTATGTCCAGTAAGCTCATAAATCCAGCTTTTTTTTTTCAGTATCTCCACTTGGAGTCTGACAACCTTAAAATTTACATATTCAAAATAGAATTCTTGAGCTTTCTTCTGCCTCCCCCCATTCTCCCAGTCTTCCCCTTCTCCGGTAAATAGCAGCTCCATTCTTTCAATTACCTGGTAAAAACCTTGGTGTCATCTTTGATTGTTCT